ATATATATATATATATATATATATCCATAAAATAAATTATAAGATTAATTATTTCCCTATTTTTGTTTTTTTTCTTTTTTTTTTATTAAATAAATTCACTGTCATAATTACCGGCAATATATACGTAGATATAGGGTGTATTAGATTGAGTAAAATGTCCGTTCGCGTGTGTTTCTTTTTTTCTTTCTAAATAATAAAAAGTTTTGTTATTTTAAATATCAGACTTACCTCAATGATATTTGTTTTATTTTGTTGTATTACTTTTAATCCTACAAAGAGTATCAAACTCTTATACCAAGAGAATATCAAATTATATTACATTATTATATCGAGAAATTTTACTCAACCTAATATACATATATGAGAGTATACACATATAGAAGCTCATTGAAAATATTGTAAATAAGTATTAATAAAGGAATCGTGTGATACTTGGATTTTAAGGCTTTGCGTTTCCTTAATCGCTTTCTCCAATTCGATAGTCTGACTGTGTAATTGTTCTTTCATTTGTTCATATTTGTATTGAAGACCTAATTCCGCATTATCTAGAACACGACACACATACATTTATATATATATAAATATTAATAGGATTCGTGAGAAAATTGATTGACTGGACAGGGATTTGAGAATCCAGGATTTTTCGTTTTCCGGAAGACTATTTTATCTATTGAGCTATCCAAGGTCACCGGTCAACTTCCTCAGGAATATATCTATTTATACATTCTCAATCTCACATATGTGTGTATACATGTTTACATATATGATAAAATATTTTATTAAATACATTTATTATTACTATTAGAATTATTTTTTGCGTGCACACTTTATTTATTATTAAATTAATATTATACATTATAGTAAAATTATATACTTCAGCATATCATTCAAATATATATGTACGTGTGAGCATATATAATGCGCGCGCGCGTGCGCGTGCGCGTGTACCGTTAAAGTATATAATTAAGTTAATTCATAAAAAAAAGCTAGGCTTTACAAGAAATAACTAGACGTTTTAATAAAATCATAATTCTAATTAAATCAAAAAATCAAATATAATATTAAATATTATATATATACACAGGATATTTAAAAAAAAAACATTGAATATTTTTTTTCAGTGGATAGAACACACCATACCGTAAGTAAAAAAAGTCTTAATAAGTATAAGTTAAAAGATCAATCGTTTCTGATTATGGTCACTAAGATTTTTTTTTACTTATGTTAGTATAATGTGTTCTATGCATTTTATAGATATTAAATGTCTTTTTGAACACCCTTTGTATATATATTATTATAATATAATAAAAATAAATTGTATGCAGGCGAGAGTGTGTGAACAAAACAAGTAATTCTGCAAACCTTTTCTATTAGATAAAAAAGGTTGAACAATTGAATCAATAAGGTCGTGTATCTTCTCTCTTTCAATTTCTATAGTACGCAACCCAGACTCCAATTCAGAATCTGTCAAAAGTTTGGGAATATTTTTGACGAATTGTCGAAGCTTTTCCTCGATAGCTTTTAAAGTATTTTCCAAAGAAATCTATAATGGATAACGAAAATTGTCAAAAACATGTTTTAATCTTTTGTTAATAAAATTACTTATTTATACGTGATTACGTAATATATATATAAGGTTTATAAGAAAAATTATTCTATTCTTAAAAGAAATTAAAAAAAAATAATATATATATACCAAAAATTCGTTCTCACTGATCGCTGACTTGATAACAAATTTACTCATTTCCATTGTGTAATTAATAATCTATTTATGATGCTACGCCTTCAAAAAATCCAAAATTACTGGATTATATTTAAATAAAATTTAAATCATATAAAATAATATCCACATCTTTAATTTTTCTTTAACATTAAGATTAAATTCGCATGTATATATATTATATTTAATCTCAAAATAAAAAATAAGGTTATAAAATAGCAATATGCCAAATAAGGAATTGTTTTAAATCTTCCATAGATGATAGGTGTGTTTAATGGATGACTTTGATTTGATTTAAATCTGACAAATCAATGTTAGTAATTATTAGAATTTCATTCAATAGCTTATATGTTACATACTTTACGAATTAATCTATTAAACATAATAAATAATAATATTAAACTAATCAAACAATTCATTATTAATTGCTTAATAAACTTTTTTATACAGTATGATATTTGAATATTCTCAAATTTTGATTGGCTGTTTTGTACACATTCACTTCCACATTTATTCAAAGATCGTAAAAGATAATACGTTTGTGAACGCATAACTAACAAAAATTGCATCTAGCTTGGAATAATACAAAAATTAATTATTAATTATTTAATAAACTTTTCTATATAGAGTATAATACTTGAACATTCTCGAATTTTGATTGGCTGTTACGCTTTTACTACATTAGACGGGTAAAAAATGATACGTTTGTGGAACACATTACTAACGGACATTTTATATCGCGTGGTGTTTATTATATATTTTTTAGAATACTCAATGTGCGGTTATCGCGTTTTAGTTTTATGATGCAAAAAGATAGTATTAACTATAACCTTGTGGTCTACAAAAGAATTATTATTTTTACAACGTCTTGAATTCTGTGATATAACTACTATTATTATAATAATAAATATATATGTAAGTTATAAAGATATTATCTTTTTAGCTGAAAAGCCGTTAAAATACAAATTCAAGTTTTGCCGCTTAATTCAATTTTGATTTTATTTACAATTTAGAAACATAATTTCTTATAGAAAATATCATTTTTCAAAATGTTACTATTTTATTTTTTCTAATATTAGTTAGTTCATTTCTTTTATAATAGAAAATGTTATATTAATAGATGTGAATATTATGTAAGATAGTGGTTGCAATTTGAATGGAATTTCTTCTAATTAATTATAAAAAAAAATTGTTTAAGGTAAAAAAAAGGTACCTGTGTAATAATTAAATGCTATCATCAAAAATTCTAAGCGTGGAATAAATAAGTACATACAAATATATATATATATATATATATACGTATATATAAATTATAAACATTGAAAATATGGAATCTAATATAAATGATAATGAAATGGTAAGTACATATATGAAGCAAAACCGTATGAATGCCTAAAAAAGAATATCAAATTACTAAATTTCTCTCTTTTTTTTTCTCTTATTACACAGTCTGGAAGGACTTCTAGAAGTGCAATTCGAATGAGCACCAGAATAAGAAATAATAGCCCGTCGCGATATTTTCCTACCACAAAAACATCAGTTCGATCTTCTAGAAAATCACCTGCAAGGTCACTCGCTAGATCACCCGCTAGATCACCACCCAGATCACCAGCTAGATCACCAGCTAGATCACCTGCAAGATCACTCACAAAATCACCTGGAAAATCACTCGCAAAATCATCTGCAAGATCGCCTGTAAGATCACCTGCAAGATCACCAGCAAGATCACTATCAGGATCACTTACGAAATCAGCTACAAAATCTCCAACAACTAATAAAAGAAAACTTCCATTTCCCACTACAAAGTATGCCACAGTATCTATTCCTCGAATAGAGTTTCCCACTGGTAATTACATTTTTTAGCATGCACGATTGATTATAACTCATATTGAATATTATAATCTAATAGATTCTTGTTACTTCATAGAAAAAATCAATAACGAGGAAAATATTATTGTAAAAAATAATTCCGTGATAAAAGATAATCCAATTGAAACAATACCATATTATTATCGATTAAAAGAACTAGAAGGTGTATCTCGCAGATCAATGCGTATTTCTAGCACACCGAAACCTGAATCACCCCATAAATTAACAGCATTTACTAAAAATTTGGATAGAGCTGTTTCTTTACCTGTAGAACGAACAATTCAATTAAATGATATTACCGATGGTAAGGAGAGAGGTCTTTCTGTACAGAGAGATCAGGTATGTATGTATGCATTTATATAAATGTAATAAATGTAATATGTATATATATATGGATAAAAATTTTGATAATATGATTTATGAGTAAAAATAAAATGATATATACATGAGTTTTTAAATGCTTGTATAAAAATAAATAACGTGTTATCAAAATTTTACTGAAAAAAAATTAAGAGGACATCCTGTATTTTTTTTTTTTAAATTATAAAAGTATTTATGTGTCATTACTCATGTAAATTTACAATGCTTCAGGATTTGACCAAATCAGTAGAGTTTGAAGGAAAACTACAGTCAGAATTAGTAACATTAGAGAAACGTAAAAAAAATATAAATTTAGTTGAGAAACCTCAGGAGTGGGGAGGATGGTTTGGAATTTGCATTCTTTTGTTTATCATGCCTCTTACTGTAATAGTACCACAATTACTTTGTTCAGAAGCCATGTGTAAATTAGCATATCCAGAAATACCAACTGACATACAATTATACATCAATGCTTATTCATTTTTTGGATACATGTCATTTTTACTTTTGCTGATTATTTTTTCTTCTATTCCAATTGGAAGATCCATCGATGGCCAACAAAGTAAAGTCGGTAGATTACAATATCGTATGAATGGTATGATAATCACATTTTTTTACACATTTTTATTAGTCTTATTATATTTGTGTTTAAAAAGAAACTAATGTATTTTAATTTTTACTTTTTTTTCTAGGATTTTTATGTGCTGCGTTATCATTGATCATACTGAACATTTGTGTATATAAAGAGTTAAAATTACACGAGCTTATTTTAGAAAATTCTTTACAATTAAGTATCAGTGGATGGATTCTTGGAACAATTTTAGCAATATTATTATATATTAAAGCAAATAAAGCACCTGTTGCATGCCTTAATATATTCGCATCAACTAATAGTATTATATATAATTTTTGGCAAGGCAGGGAAATAAATCCCAGAATTGGTTCTTTGGATATAAAAATAATATTATTGCGTGCCTCAGTGATTGGATTAGTAATTATAATTTCTATTGTATAATATATAATTATTTCTTCTGTTAATTTTTTATTTTTATATTTTATAGATCATAATAAACAATGCTCTTATAATTAAAACATTGGAAAACAGTAGCAGTTCGGAATTGAAGGATATTAATTTAGCACAATTATTAGTATCCTCTTTACAAATATTTTATGGCATAGATATGTTAATATTTGAATCAACTATTTTAACATCCTTTGAAATTATGTATGAAGGTACTGGATATATGCTGTGCGTTGGACATTTACTTTATCCTTTTCTGCCAACTATTTTATCTAAATATATGTTTTTTAGAAGGTAATGCATAAATATTAACATGATATAATCACGATATATTAAAGATATTTTTAACATTATTTTCTTATATTTCCAGAACACAAATAAATTATCTGTTCGCAATACCTATCCTAACTTTTATTATTGGATACATTATATACAGAATGAGTAATTCTCAGAAGAATGAATTTAGAAAAAATCCATATTCTCCTGCATTAGATAGTATGTTAATTGGATATAAGTATACACAGAAATTAGTAGAATCAGAGATTAGTTTAAAAAAAATAATACGTTCTTTTACTTCGCAGATTTAGAAACAATCTCAACATTACGTGGAAAAAGATTGATAGCATCTGGTTTTTGGGGATATGTGAGACATCCCAATTATTTGGGTGATATCATAATGCAATGGTCTGTATCCTGTTTAAGTATGACAAGCGAACTCTTGCCCTATTATGCTCCATTATGTTGCACTATAATATTGATGCATCGTGCCATACGAGACAATAAACGTTGTAAATTGCGTTACGATTATGCCTGGGAACAATATTGCTTAAGGGTAAAATACATGATTCTCAATTATGTATTTTAAATATTTTTTCATTGTAACATATGGAAATTAAATTAGAGTACTCAAATTTATTTTAATATTTAACTTCGAGATCTCAAGAGTTTTGCATGACATTTATACAACATTTGTTATTGTATAAAATAAATGTTTATATTATTTTTTATAGTACCTTTTATAAGTTTAAGAAAAATATACATCTTTGTATATATACTCTACCGAACGAAATTTTAAATACGTCTACTGCATCTGCATTGCATACTTACATATAAACTGCAAATTTTATTGTTTTAACATTTCTTCATTCTTGCTCGTATTTTATGATTTTACAATTACAAACATTCATAAAATCTTTCAAATTGTTAATAATAAGCTTTCTCAGCAACCAATATTTCTTATATCACATTATAATACTTTAAGGATACTACTAGTATCCTTTAAATTTTCATTGTATAACATATTGATATAAATTTGAAGATTATTAAAAAATACTACTTCAAGTTTATTATGAACTAAGAATTGAAATGTGTATGAATTAAAAAGATTTGGAAATATTTTAGAGATTATTAATTTAGTGATATACATATAAGATATTATATATTTACAATACAATTAGAAGTTTTATACTTTTTTATATTAAAGAAAATTGTATAATGACTCCCAATAAATAGTTTGTTACAAAACTAATTATATAAGAAAAATTTAATAGATGTGAACTGAAGTAGTAAACACCTGCATGATAAATGGCAAGTACTCAATGAGTTGCGAGTCATCGTGAAGACGTTATTTTCGATTGAACAAGTTATCGTATAGTATATATAAAAAATGGCTACTTATTTTGGAGAGGTTGTATTCCCATCATCTCGAGCATTTTGGGATGAATATGAAGGAGAAGAATCAATTGATGAATTGCAAGATGAACCGTAAGTTTTTTATGTTGTTAATAACATAACCTTTAAAAAAACATCATGTTTACAATTCCAATTTTTTTTTTTTTACTATTTATACATTCAATTTGATTTTTAGGCATATCAATATAATATGGCTAAAGGATAAACCAACATCTATGAAAAAATTTGTACTAGTAGAAGGAGAGATTATAATTGGTATTGACACGATAAGTGTATACTAATTTTTATATGACATTACTATGATGATTTCATTCTTTTATATGCTCAATTTTTATTCTAGATTTTTTAAAAGAATTCTTGTGCCATGATTCTGAGAAAATATGTGCTATTCAAAATGAGTATAATAAGGAACTTGCTGTGATTTATCAAGTTAATGAAGAAGATTTATATATTTGTATTATAGCACCCAGCTTCGATACAAAAATTGCAGGAGACTTTATAATAAAGGTGAGTGTTTAATATATTTTTTTAAGATTTTCCTTTTAAATAAATCGTATATAATATCAATCTTTTGCGGATGAAGTAGTAAAATAATCAACCTAATTTTATTGCACACTTTAGACTAGAATAACTATTAAACATTATTCTATTTTTAGATAAGTGATATTTTATCCATTTGTAAAAGCATATATTTAATATCTTGGAGACATGTATCGCATTATAAAAGTGCAAATATACCAGCTGTACCTTCTTTTCTACGATGCTTATATACAAAGAGTGGAAATAATCTTTGTAAATCGCACAAAGAACTTTTAGAGCAACCAAACATTATATATGGAGTTGCTGCAGGAAGTTAGTAACTAATTTTATTACAAATATACAAAATTAAAATAGTAATAATTAATAATAACAATATACATATTTCTTTTTAGTTTTATCTTATGCTCAAATGATGGACTTCCAATCTGTTCTTTATGTTTTATATACAGACACCTTTGTATTAGATTCTATAGCAGCAAAACCACTTATTGAAATATTTGCAGAAATAAGTAATCAAATTCTACACAATATTTCATTTGCTGGAAAGAGTTTCTTTAATAAAGGAAATCTTTACATGTAAATTATTGATTTCATTACTTTCCTTTTCTCAAAGTAATTTCCTATTAATCGTACATTTAAGAGTTTACTTTGGTAAGCTAACGGATACAGATAAAAAAACAAGAACAATTTAATATATATTTTTACATATTAATTTAAATTAAATGTAAAATTTTTTGAAAAGGATCTAGAAATAGTAATAATAATCTTTTTATATTTACAATATTTACAAGGGACTAAGTTATAATATCTATAACTAGTATAAATACTAAATGATTTCTGAGTTGATAATGCAATTTTCAATTAAGAAGTAGTAATTGTATGTTATGGTTGCGGTGGATAATAGGTACGTTGAGTAGTTGCTGGTGGTACAAGTGCATTAGGCGCAAAATAAGATGCATTAGTTGGATAAGGATAAGGCTGAAATGGTGGTTGGGCTGCATTCGGACCAGGAGGTGCAGGCCGAATAGGAGCGGATGTGCTGATATGGTGCATCGTTGGTACAATATGATTTATAGTGTTTACTGGGGGAGGAGGAACGGAAACATTTGCTGGTGGAAATACTGGTGGATAAGTTGTGTTGCCTGGTGCAAAATTTGCAGGATATGTCGGAAAGTGTGTTGGTGCTTCTACTACTGGTTTGATACTGTCCGTAGTATCTGTAGCTGTACAACCATTTGCAGCAACAGGAGGTACTTCGATTTTAGTAGCTTTTCCAGGAGTCACTAAAATAGATCATTTTCATATATTATTATTATCATCACGGAAAAATATAATTTTTGTGTTTATTATATATTTGATTTTTTACCATTTGGAGTATTTGATGCAGAATCTACAATAGGAGGTGGAGCAATTCTCTCTCTATTTTGTTCATTGGACGGAATTACAGGTGGAGAATCGGGAGGTTTCGTATTATTTGCTTGAGAATATAAATCTAATACTTGGTGACAAATATCTGTAAATATATATATATATTATTAATTAATAGTATAATTATTTGAACATTATGCAGTCCGGTCACACCACCTTGGTGTTGCGTTAAAATATGAATATATTTTAAAGAGATACCTTCTAAAAGATCCATCGTTACATCCTCTACAAACATATCCCACCAACGTAAATGTCTGGGTAGTCTACCATTCCAATCTAATACTTCAAATTTACTTAATTTCCCTGCTAAGTACATGAGAGCAACTGCTATTATTTCTGGTTCCCACTGAAGAGATAATGTCGTACACAAGCTGTAATAAAAAAGAAAGAAAATAAATTATTACAATTTAAAATTGATATGAAAACTTATGAAAATATTTATTACCTATCATTTACAAATGTCCATGCCATTTGAACCATTTTCTGCAATTTATTTTTGTCACCTAAAAATGAAATATTTTTCAAGTATATTTTCAATGAATTACAATACATTCAACATTTGTAAAATATAATACCTTTAAGACATTTTGCATATTTTAACAGGTAACTATATGGATGCTCTACTTGTAAGTCAAATTTAATTGTTTGTAACAATATCCTTTCTATGGTCATTACTTCTTCCTGTAAAACGAAGCAATAAATTATAAGAAATTATCTTAAAATATATATTCTATATATTTTTTATTTATGTGTACCTTAGGATCTTCTCCAAACGTCATAAATTTTTCTTCAGTTAGTAAAGTCTTGGCTGTTCTTATAATATCTTTACATTTTTTTGGTGTTTCTTCTACTTTACCAGCTAATAATAAACAACAGCATGCAGTAACCTATAGACATATATATTTATATATATAATAAAAAAGTAATAGCATTTGATAAGACAATGTGATGAATTTAAAAATTATTTATAAAAAATAATAAATTACTTACATATCGTGGAAAATTTTTGAACGAATGAAACATGTAAAATCTGTGGAAATAAACAACTCCCGTTGCCATTGTATTATATCCTAAATCCATTTTTGTGCCAGTGTCTATTATAAATCTAGCACCCTCCTTTCTATACCTGCATTCTGTGTCATAATCAATCCCATCCTGAACGGATGGAGTATTACGTAGTTCTTTTTTTTCATAGTACCAGCATGGCATTTTTACTTTTAAATATATAAAAAATGAATTAGATTGTTTATACAATTAAAATTTCTTATAGTCTATTATAAAAATGTAATAAGAATAATCAGAATGTTAAAAGTGCACTTAAATGTATGCATTTCCGTAAATAATATACTTATAACATTTTTAAAAAGAGAATATATTTATCTTAAAAGTTTATATTTAACACAAAAACATACGTTGTAATAAATATTTAAGGTTTTATAGAGAATAGGTTAATATATTTTAGGTTAAATTGTTGTTATTGCATACTGTTAATTACTTACGTGTATTAAATACTGTATATCCAAGGTTCTTATAATAATAGATTTTTCATACAATTATAGTTTAATAATTTTTAATAAATGTTTTTATTTCTAATAGATATAGTATTGAGTTGAATTTACACAAATATCATATAACTGTATTCATATATGATATAAATCCATGCAACTGTACGCAACTGTACGCAACTTCACACATAAACATAACAACTTAATTGTCCTGTAGGGGGTGTTAGTCCTTAGTGACAGATGGCACAACAGTTGTCATTACACTAGTTCAAAAAGATATGCCACATGCTTGAACAAATCGTATATTATTTCCGCCAATCACGTTCGTATCTTGTAAGGCGCGGAAAGAATTTGATTGGTGAAAAAATAGCTGCGATAAGAGTTATATTTCTAGTAACAGAAGTTTTACTGCAATAGTTTTAGTTGCATTTTGCCGTGTTCACCGAAGTAAATGGTGCGTGTACGTTTTTCGCGTGTGATAACGAAAAAGAATAATAAAAATAAGAAAATGTCATGCCGCGTTCGTATTTATATTCCATAGGTGGTGCTGCTATCGGTTAATTTTATTGGTCGCCGTTTGGATAAGTTGGGTAAATTATATAAGTTAAATATTAGCGTCATTGAAAATCTAAAGATTATTGTGCATATTAAAAATTCATAGGAGTAGGACAAGAAGAGGAGTGAAGGAAGATGGTAAATACGATTGATATATTTTAGTTCAATTAATTAAATTAATAACTTTCAATAATAGCCAGTATAAGATATATTCAAATCTAACTCTCTTTTTTAACAGCTAACTTCATGCTTTCGTTGCATGGTGCGCGCGAAACTGAAATTTCATAACGCGCGTAAAGAAGTATAATTTCAAAAAACGATTGTTTCGAATTTTCTGACTAGGTACAACCCTTTAAGATGATAACAATAATACGCTTTTTCTAACAACACTACGTGTATACGTACGTAAGCTTGTGTGCGTGAGATATATTTCTATATGGTTATTGGGAATTTCTAATTGGTCACTTCACGTCCAAAATGTAAGATCAAAAATGATCAGCGAATCAGCGTTCTTTTCTTTTTTGGCCGTCGTGGAGATTGCAACGTAGCATTGTCGTCCCGCTAATATCAGGTAATTAAAAAATATTTTCTAACGTAAATAGTTTCTCAGTTAATTGAAAAGTATTTTACACCTTCCTATAATATATCAAACACAATATTTTCATACGCGAGTGTTTTCAAAACGAAATATTAAAAAGTTCGAAAGATATCTGTGAAAATATAATTATCGATATATGTCAGTTTCGCGCCAAATCTCACCAATGTTACTTAACAATATTTCTTCTAATTTTCAGCTTTTTTTCATGGTATCGATACTTATTACCATCTCTAATCATGTTCTAATTAATTATTTTTCATAATTATGTATTCAAAGATCGTATTTCGTGTTAAATTCGATTTTTATCACATACACACATAACAGGCATATATATATAAGTATAGGTAGCTTGTACACATACACTCGTATATTTAATTTTCTTTATATTGTACTAATGTAATTTTATTTTTTATATTCCTTTAGGTTTCGAGAGTATTGGAGAATCCAGAACGAATACATATACTCAGTCAAACGATTGTTTTACTCTTTTTTATCTTCATATTCATTGAGGTAAGCGTTATTCTTTTTTTAACCTATTATATATAGAAAGAGTGAGAACGAGAGTAGAGAGAGAGAAAGAGAGAGAGAATGAAAAAACAAAACATTGAACGTACAGGCAATTATGAATGTTTATGTATTTTTGTAGGACTTTCTCGAGGTGAAAACAAAAGAAAGACAGCCGAATACAAAACGTAAACAGCCGAACGTTAGACGAAGGATAAGCAGTAACATATCTCATTCCCCTCCCGTCCTTTAACGAGTTAAGATCTAACGCGAACGTGTAACGTATTAAACTATTTAATAATTTTATTTCTAACGTGTTATCTAATTAAAATATTCGACAACTGCGCTAATTAGACAACTTTTTATATCTAACATTGATTCTTCATGATAGAATATTTTTGAAAGTGTGCGAAATGCCTTCAGGAATGATTAACAGGGAATATTGTATTATAATATAATCTTTAGTATGTTTCAGCTTTACAGATTTTTTTATTTTATTTTATTTTATTCGTCGTCATCCTAAGGGTAGGACACCCATCCTGCAGTCATCAATGAAGACTAAAAGTAAATATATTTTTTTATCAAACATTTCTATAATAACCTTAATACTGTTTTATTACGACGATGACATTAATTGTTCTTTTTCTTTTTCTGTTTCAGAATATCATTGCAATCGAGCGCGTAGGCAATGAAGTACTCGTGTGTTGCATCGATAAAATAAAAAATAAAAAAGTCGGAAAGTAGAATCAGTGTTGATCGTCGTATGTTAAAGTTTCGTTTGCTCGGGTAAAGAAACTTCGTAAGTTTCTTTTATTCGTTTTTTAAACGTGTGCTCATCGTCATCCTAAGGATAGGATATCCATCGTGCATTCATCACAGAAGAATAAACGTAAGTCAATTTTTATTTTAAACACTTTCTTAATAATTATAATAATATTTTCTTACAACAATGTTATTCATAATTTTGTTTTTATTTTTATTTCAGATCATC